GCTCAACAGCTGGCCTCTGTAGCTCAGTTGGTTAGAGCGCTGCACCGGAATCGCAGGGCCGTAGGTTCAATTCCTACCAGAGGACATTGTGCTGCATTTTTCGCAGTCGTTCCTGGTTAGGTCTTAAAATGTATATATTCTCACTTGGATTACAAACCCTAACATTCTAATATTAATTCCACCAAGTGAAGTGCAAGAATCCAAATTATTGAAGTCCACCTTATCACAACCCGCACACCCGATTACCTAAATATACATGAACTTACGGTTAAAGCTCAGCAGCTGGCCTCTGTAGCTCAGTTGGTTAGAGCGCTGCACCGGAATCGCAGGGCCGTAGGTTCAATTCCTACCAGAGGACCTTGTGCTGCATTTTCGCAGTCGTTCCTGGTTAGGTCTTAAAATGTATATATTCTCACTTGGATTACAAACCCTAACATTCTAATATTAATTCCAACAAGTGAAGTGCAAGAATCCAAATTATTGAAGTCCACCTTATCACAACTCGCACACCCAATTACCTAAATATACATGAATTTACGGTTAATTTAAGCTCAACAGCTGGCCTCTGTAGCTCAGTTGGTTAGAGCGCTGCACCAGAATCGCAGGGCCGTAGGTTCAATTCCTACCAGAGGACCTTGTGCTGCATTTTTTGCAGTCGTTCCTGGTTAGGTCTTAAAATGTATAATAATATGCTCACTTGGATTACAACCCCTACATTCTAATATTAATTCCACCAAGTGAAGTGCAAAAAACCAAAATCATTGAAGTTCGCCTTATCACAACCCGCACACCCGATTAACTATATATACATGAACTTACGGTTACAGCTCAACAGCTGGTCTCTGTAGCTCAGTTGGTTAGAGCGCTGCACCAGAATCGCAGGGCCGTATGTTCAATTCCTACCAGAGGATCTTGTACTGCATTTTTCGCAGTCATTCCTGGTTAGGTCTTAAAATGTGTATATGCTAGCTTGGATTACAACCCCTACATTCTTGGAACTGTGGTATGTCCCAATTTTACTATCAAAGTTTGCAGAGAGGAACAAGCTATCTCATTTGACAGAGACAGATTTTTATAAAAGTTAAATTGTTGATTTATTGTTATAGCAAGTTCAACCAGTGCATCAATTCAACCTTCCTTAACAGGTGAGTTTTAATGCAAGCATCTCTAATAATTTCTTCCTTGGTAGTTTATGAGCTGGTAATTGTCCACTGTCGGTTTTGCATGTGTTATTCAGCGTCCACGTTCATATGTTCCAGTTTCGTAATGTTTCAGAACGTCTCCATCTTCTCTTCGTCGGTCCTTCCCCATTCCCCCATGTTATTAGCGTGTAGTTTTATGTCCGTTCAAAGCGGATACAGAATTGGGGAGGGGGTTGATAATTGTAGGCAGACATTGTTGGGTATCTTGCGCGCTTCTACTCACAGAATTTCATCAACTTTGTTTTTAAAGCTATATGTGACAACATGCCTCCCACTAAATTAAATTGTCAAGTATAAAAGGATATATTTTAAGACTATGCAATGTTTCAATGGTTATATTTTAATGCAATGCAATGTTTCCTCCCAAACTTATCTCTTCAATTCATAATGATTCTGAGTAATGGTTGGAGTGCAGTTTTAGATCCGTTCAAATCCGATAAAGAATTGGGGGGGGGACGATTGTCAGCAGGAGGTGTTGAAAATCTTGCGCGCATTTTCTTACTAGAATCTACCGAACATTTTCCTAGTAAACTGTAAAAATAGATAATTTGCCGAGTACC